CAACCAGAATGCCGCCATGGGGTCACCAGGGGATAAATTCTGAAGGAAAGTTGCACAAGCCAATGCTCTCTTCATTGGAAGTGAAAAGGAGACAGGGTGGGATGCTGCTTGAAGCGTCAATGTGGACTCATCGAGCCAAATGGCCTGCCTCCCCACTGTAGGGATTCTATGTATTGATAAATTAGGTGAGTGCAGTCCTTCCACAGACTTTGAGAACTCAACTGGTAAAATTTCATGCAGTAATTATCATCAAAATGAGAGCCTGGATTTGGATGTAGCCTCTTGATCTGGGGTTGGAATTCTTTTCAGAGGCATGAGACAGACTGTATCCCTGTAACCCTGCATTTCCCATGGCTAATCCATCTAGCCTGCACATCCCTGGACTCTATGGACAACTTAGTGTGGCCAATCCACCTAACCTGCTCATCTTTGGGCTGTGGGAGGAAACTGTAGCACCCGGAGGAAACCCATGCAGACACTGGGGGAAGGTGCAAACTCCACACAGACAGTTGGGTATCTTATTAGTGCATTGTGATCAAATGTGTTCTCCAGGAATCTCTTTCTATGCTTTAATTTTTCACCATTTTTATGAATTAGTGGTGGCAATAGTTCTTTAAGTAGGTTTTCAGACAATGTTGTGAAAGCATGGACAGGGCATGGTGCATGAGATTTGGAAATCACAAAGGGAAATTGATTCTCTGAGGGAAATGAAGCTCACTGGCTAGAAATATGAGGTTATTCAGTTTGGGTCAATTAAGGTTAAATCAAAACAAATCAAATAATTTGTGAAGAAGCAGAGAGTTGGAAGTGAAAGATCACATCACTTTAAACTTGAAGATTGGAACAGAAGTGGCAATACAAAAGTTGGGAAGAGGAGCTGTAACTGTACAAGGCATTAGTGAGACTGAAGCTGGAGTATTGCTAAATTGAAAGCCATTGCACACATAGCAATTTTGGAGCCACGCATGTAACTCCTTGACTGCATATCTCCATTGCCAGTTTGCTCAGGTACACGATGGGCCGAATGGCCCTCCATTAGTGCGGGATCATTCTCTGAAATAGGAGAACTCTTACTTTTAACTTTCAATACTTTGGCACGCTTATTTCACTGAAGGAGGAAGTTTGTATCTAATAATAAACGTATGATGTGATCAGTGATGCTAATTTCCCTCAGAGTAAGAATTAAACAGGAGACCGAGTGTTGTAACCTTTATTTCACAGTGAGAATACTTTCCCAGCAGTTAGAAAAATCACAGAAGTGGCAATGGAATTTTGGGTCTTATCAAATCTCGAACTGCAGTCTAATGGCGTGGATGCTATTGTTTGTTAATTCATTTACAGGAAGTGGGTGTCACTGGCTGAGCCAGCGTTTATTACCCATCCACATCGGCCTTGAAAAGGTAGTGGGAGTTGCCTTCTTGAATCCCTGCAGTCCACGTTCTGTACGTCAACCCACAATGCTCTTAGGAAGGGAATTCCAGGATTTTGACCCAACAGACAATGAAAGAATGGTGATATATTTCCAAGTCAGGATGGTGAGTGTCTTGGAGGGGAACTTGAAGGTGGTGTTGTTCCCATATGTCTGCTGCCCTTGTCCTTCTAGATGGAAGTGGTCTTGGGTTTGGAAGGTGCTGTCTGAGGATCTTTGGTGACTTTCTGCAGGGCATCTTGTAGATAGTATACACTGCTGCTACTGAGCGTCGGTGGTGGATGGAGAGGATGTATGTGGATGTGGTGCTATCCTAGATGGTGTCAAACATTTTGAGTGTTATTAGAGCTGCACCCATTCAGGCAAGTGGGGACTGTTGCATCACACTCCTGACTTTTGCCGTGTAGAGGGTGGACAGGCTTTGGGGAGTCAGCAGTTGAGTTACTCGCTGCAGTATTCCCAGCCTCTGACCAGCTCTTGTAGCCACTGCATTTATGAAGTGAATCTAGTTGAGTTTCTGGTCAATGGTAACCCCCAGGATGTTGATGGTGGGGCATTCAGTGATGGTGATGCCATTGAATGTCAAACGAGCAATAGTTAGATTGTCTCTCAAAGCCTGGTTTTGTGTGGCGCAAATGGTACTTGCCACTTGTCAGCCTGAATTTGTTTCAGTTCTAGGAAGTCCTGGTCAGACCACATCTAGACCTTAAGGTCAATGGTGCTCGAAAAGATTGGTTTCAGATGGGATGCAGCTCCAATTCACAAGAATGGGCCGCAAGGGTTAGGTGGTGAGAATGGGGAACATAGATGTGGCTTAAAATCTCCTGAGTCTAGAAGATGGAGAGGTAACAGACACAAAAACTCAAAAAGAAATACATGCACACAGACACACACACATTCACATACTCTCACA